GTGGGCGGTGCCACGCCCATTTTCTAAAATTTTATCATAAACGTATTTCCTGGCAAAGAATTGTTGCAACCATCATTTTGAATAAATTAGCTTTAATATTTACTGATTTATCGAGGATTTCGTATTTCTCGAAATTACCGTTTGTTGCCAAAGCCTAGGCACGCAGCGCGGCAATGAAATAAGCCGTCGTGATTCACCTGGGTACGCTCGCATCCGGCACGACCTAGCTCGTCGGATTGGGGTGGGTTTTTGGTGATCACCTTGGATGTAAAATTGCACCTTATGATCACGTATATGTATCTCGCTAACCGTTCTAGCAATTTGTACCAGTATGGTATGGTATGGTTATTGTGCTTGCCACATAAAAGTAAACCATTGAAAATTGTTGAAATCGGACTAAAATTACGGCCGCTTTTCATATAACGGTAAATTTCAGAAATGCTTGAAATTTCAATATTTTGAAATTTAAGGACGCTAGTTTACTAATAATTTATACACGCCGGCTTATCATGTAGCGGTAGCTTTCGGAAAGGTGGAAAACATATATTTAATATTTGCGCCGGGTATTTAATGTTCGGCTCCGCCCGAACTTAGACTTTCTTACTTGTTTTATGACAGGTTTACCACCAGGCGCTTTCGCTTTGCTTCCTTATCCAGCTTGGAAAAGGCAGAAGAGAGTTCGCGATTTTTTTTACCGATGATGTCGATGTCATCGGCACACGCCACAAATTACACGCCCTTGTAAAAAAATTTTCCTACGTGGTTCAGTTCTGCAGCTCTTATTATCTTAACATTTGTATCATGCGATCGTAAATGCCCTTCTGCTTTCGCTTTAGTTTGGGAATCCTTGATCGGGAATAGGAGTTTACAATAGTGATGATAATCATAATCATAATAATATTATCTCATGTTATTCAAAATTTCTTTACTCGAAATATACATAGTAGGCTATGGCGACCCCAAACGAAATTGTTTACGATTAAAAGTTAACTGATTTATAATGCTAGGGAATGGTGTCAACAATTTTAAGTTTTCATTAGGTATTTTTTAAACAGCTTTCATTCGATAAGTTTTTGTTTTCGTTACTATTTTATAATTTTTTTATTTGTTTCAGTAGTTTTAGCCGACTTCAAAAAAAGGAGAGGGTTATCAATTCGTCGGATTTGTTTTTTATGCATGTTACCACATAACTTTGGACCACGTCAACCGATTTCCAGGTGATCCCATACCAATTTGGTTTAGGTCTGATCATTGGATCATGAAAAAATTAGCGGTACTATTAAACTTTTACATGAGAATTGGAGTCGGTGTGTTGTTTGCTTAAAAATTACTTGTTTGTTAATTTTTTACATTAAGTAATTTGTGTACCAGCTCTTCGTTGATAATATGATCACTTCGTTTGATAAGATGTTGTAAATTCTATTGGGGTATTCACAACGGTGACCATGCGAATCCCCATAATATATTTCTAGGCGTTTAAAGTTTACGACATAAAACAATACGACACCGTTGTGAACCCCTCATATATTTATTTAAACTGTTCGGATTTTGGATAAGTGGAAAGATTTAAAAAAATTCTCTAGTAAAGCTTTATCAAACAATTTTCGTTTGGAACCAGTTATGTAATATTTTATTTAATTTCAATATTTTCAGTCTTTACTTTTAGATAGGTGATAATCCTATAAAAAATATGTCCAAATGGAAATTTTTCAAATACCTTTCGTTTGGCACCCATATTGTACCTCAAACATATTTTCGATTGTAAGTCTTCTTAAAACTCTTTAGTTTGATACCCAATATTTTATTTATTTAATCAATTCAAGACGGCCCACCTTAATGCTTAATAATATATGTACATATGTACGCACACATGTATTTATTAGAAACTGTCATAAATATTTCCCGCCAAATTAACTATCTATTAACTGCCCCTCCCAATAGTTTTACTGCTTTGAGGTTGAACTCAATTCTATTGAAAAGAGCGCGGGTACTTATTTTCCCATATTCAACCAGGACCGGCCGTCAGCCACCACACATCGTCCGCTTTACATCTGTTCGCTTTATATTGAAAATACATTGGTGCAACACACTAAGCTTTCAAGTTCAAATTTTCAAAAAGGTGGCAACTCTCCTCAAAAATATATTCCCAACAGTTATCTATCTTAAACCTCCTTAATTGAATACCTATATTTTAATAAGTCATTTATTTTATGAATTATGCAAATTTAGTTAGATTTTCAAACAGGTGGCAGCCCTCCTCAAATATATTTTCGGCCGTAAACCGTAATAAGAATCTAAAGCTTGTTACCGACATTGCAATACTTCATTTATTTTATCAATTTAACTGACTTAAAATTTTCAAATAGGGGGCAGACCTCCTCAAAAATATTTCCTTTCCTTTCATCTATTGTAATATGTCTGTTCAGAATTCGACTGATCTGGGCCCACTTAAATGCTCGTGGTAAGAAACTGGTGTCGCTGAAGAGCGGCTGCCGTCCCGTGCTCTTATACTCTCCTAATTTTATATACATATGTTTGTACCTATGTTGTCAACCCATGTACTTGTACGTAACCATATATATTTCGGTAATGGCGGAATTAAGGTTGCGTGCGTCGGCTATAAAAGCGATTAAACGCATATATGAACGAGTGCAAGCGAGTAAACTTGGCTCCTATGACGAATTCTAATTAGAGCAAGAATTGAAATCGGTACCTAGCCACTTTGCGCATTCGTGGCTAATCATGAGCTATTGGTGGCCAGTGCGGAAAAGGGCGAGGTTGAGGCTCATGAAACGCTCTGGGAAGAGTGGAAGATATATACAACGACACTTGTTGCATTCTCAACCGCGCGATTACAGGTGCCAAGCCAAACGTACAAGCCGGAAGGAGCATTCGCATGAATGTGAGTTTAGGTTGGAGCCTCTCGCCATTCCAACGTTCGATGGTACGATGCAAACCTGGTTAGCGTTTAAGGATGCATTTGAATTACTAGTGCACAACACCGAGTATCCTGAGGCCTACAAATTGGGGAAGTTGCGACAGGCAGTTAGCTCACATGCAGTCCAATCGTGGGAAGTGTATACTCGGGCGGCTATGGCGAATTGTGGAGTGCTCTGAAGGAACGCTTTGACAATAAGAAGCAGTTAGCCGAAACACATGTGTCCCGTCTTCTAAACATTAAGCCATCGTCAGAGGACTCATCAGAAGCATTATTGGCCATCGTCGATACAGTGCAGGAGTCACTGCGTTCGTTACGGGTGGATGGGGCTGCCAGTCGTAGAGTGGGATGCTATGCTTGTTCCCATAATAGTTTCCAACTTCCAACTGTCACCCAGCGTGAATGGAACATGAGTTGTTCGCCTACCGAAATTCCGAAGTTAGATGAGCTACTGTCATTTCGAGCCAACGCGCTCACAGCCTCTCCAAAGCCATTGTCACATGGCCCAGCAGGACCGACGCTACATCTCGAGGGCAACAGCGCACTAGTTTACAACGTACTGTAAAATCCCACGTCGCAGCTGCAGAAGAAGGAAAATGCGCATACTGTCAAGGACCGCATCGCACTACAAAGTGCACCCGTTTTCTTGCAATGAACCACGAAGAACGTGTAAATGCCCTTAAAGCCGCTAGGCTTTGTTTCCATTGCCTAAAATTGGGACATACAGCTAAGCAGTGCCCTTCGGGTCTTTGCCGACATTGCAATCGGAAGCACAACTCATTTCTTTGTCGGGAAACTTTATCTACGAACGCAGGAGGGCTGACCGCGACAACCACTCAACCGGTTCCCATCAACAAGGATCAGTCCATCTGACTAGAAGCTTCGGCGGTCACCTGCCATACCAATGCGAATCACACAGTTTTATTAGCGACATCACGCGTTTATGCATACGGTGACCCACGACTCGACGCATCGCGCGCGTGCTCTGTGACCCGGGATGCAGGTAAATATTGTTACAGATAAATTAGCTAATCCTTTATCGCTCGTGGTAGCGCTCGCTCATATTAGAATCTGCCCATACTAGTTTTACGCTGAAGATAACTGCGCTTGTCATTCCGTCAATTACTAACGGTCATCCCCGCAACGTATATTGACATGACACAGTGGCAGCACTTGTCCAGCATACAATTAGCGGATGCACAATTCGGCGTTCCCGGTAATATCGACGTGCTAATTGGTTCTGACGTATGGGGTCAAGTTGTCGAAACTGACTTCAAATTTGGCGGTCCTTGTGAGCCGCACGCTCAACGCACTGCTTTTGGGTGGGTCATATTTGGCCCAGTTTCTGCAGCACAACCTTCAACGTTGCCAACTCTCGCATTAAGTACGCAGCTATGCGACGAAGACGTACACTTGGAGGAACTCCTCCGAAGTTTTTGGAAGTTGGAGGAAGTGCCCTCCCTAGAATATGATGGAGATGACGAATGCGAACGAATTTTTTGTAACACCCACTCTCGCACACCTGACGGACGCTACGTTGTATGCATACCATTTCGTCCTGATGCGCCGGCTTTGGGAGATTCTTATACTCATGCATTACGACAGTTTTACCTTCTTGAGCGGCGACTGGCAGCAAATAGTGAATTCCTTGAGAAATACATTGCTTTTATGCGCGAATATGCAGACCTAGGCCATATGGAGCGCGCATACACATTGAACGATAATGAAGCGGGCTTTTATATCCCGCATCATGCAGTTATGGGGAAGTTTCGCCTTGTGTTCAATGCCTCGGCGAGAACTACAACCGGCGTCTCCCAGAACGAAGTTCAGCTGGTAGGAACCACAATACAAGATCCACTACTTAACATAATATTTCGCTTTCGCCGCTTTCGCATCGCATTGTCTGCCGATGTTGAGAAGATGTTTCGACATTACTTGTTAAACCCGAGCATAGAGATTTTCAGCGCATTATTTGGAGAGAGTCCCCAACCGATGACATCACTATATATCGCCTTACAACGGTGACTTATGGTATGGCTATGGCTAGTGGGCGGAAAACATAGCTCAACTAAGACGAACGTGCCTCCACCTGAGGCGTACTTACACCAGGGCCAGGCGTAGAAGCGCTGCAATCGAAGAGGCACAACTATCCCAAGCTGATAGAAAAGAAGTCAAACGAGCAATCGAGGCCAGCAAGAACAGAAAGTGGAAAGCACTGCGTGAGGATATAAACAGAAATCCCTGGGGTCTCGGATACAAGGTGGTAATGAAAAAACTTGGGGCCGTGGCAAAACCACCAGAGCTTAGCGTTCAAAAAATGGACTACATAGTAAGCGAACTCTTTCCCACGCATGAGGCATTAATCAAAGAAATGGAGTCTATCATCGCTCCTCAAGAAATACCACCATTTACCGCAGAAGAGCTCAAGTCCGCCACTAATAGAGTAAAGGCCAAGAAAGCACCAGGCCCAGACGGCATTCCAGCAGAAGTCCTAAAAATAATCGCCACAGAACGCCCTCAAGTGCTTCTAAATATGTTCAATGCTTGCCTCAAGAACGGAATATTCCCAGAAATTTGGAAAAGGCAGCAGCTCGTCCTAATCACCAAAGGAAAGGGAAACCTTGACTCACCATCAGCGTATCGACCCCTCTGTATGCTGGACACAGCTGGAAAACTCTTAGAAAGGCTGCTAAAACCTAGAATAGAAGCGGCTATCGCTAGCGGTGGCGGACTTTCCTCAAGACAGTACGGATTCAGGCCCGGTAGATCAACAATTGGAGCTATAAAACACGTAACAGCAACAGTAGAAGCCGCACACCAACACAAAAAGCTAGTCCTGCTTGCAACCTTAGACGTTCGCAACGCCTTCGACACCGCAAAATGGGAAAATATGATACACGCACTAGAAGAATTCTACAACATACCCACGTACCTTAGACTCATGGTCAGAAGCTACCTAGAAGGCCGGGAGTTACTGAGCCGTACCACCGTTCACAGACCTATGGAACGTCAGCTACGACGGAATATTAAACCTCGAGATGCCAGATGACACATATTTAGTAGGCTACGCTGATGACATTGCCGCGAGTGATCACCGCAAGAGACACCGAAACCGCCCGTCGCAAATTAAACCAGACTATGATAAGAACACAGGCATGGCTCGACTCACACGGTCTTAAACT